ACTTTATCTATTGAAAAAAATGGTTAGAATTTACCATGTTTTCCTGCCAGTTGGCACTGAGAGTGACTGACACTTGATGGTCAGGACATTTTTTTTTACTAAATATATGTGTAAAAAAATAAATAAAAAGAAAATAAAACAAAGAAAAAATCCCTATTTTCTCTCTTTTCTATGTGCATTCATAAATTGTATTAATTTGTAAGTGTCATATTTGGCAGGTGGCATTAGAAGGTATATTATTAATATTATCAAATGAGAAGTTTAATACCACAGAAAAAAAGTAAAATATGGATATTTTTCGAAGCTGCTGTATATAAAAAACACAAGGTGGCTGAATTTGCATGCTATTTAGATAGCTGAAGCTTATAGGTGTTCATTACTTTCACTCAATTTAATTATGTTTTTAGCACCCCCTCTGAACTGTTAAGCCCCTCCTTAGCACCCCCAACATATTGTGCCAATGCAATGACAAATGATCCATAGTTTGACCCACATAGACTCCAGTCACTGCGTGGGATACGGGCCCTAGTGATTAAAAAATAAAATACACAGTAATTTGTACATTTTATGTTTTAAATGTTACATTGATAACTTTTCCTTCTTTTTATTATTATTTTTTTATTCAATCCTAGTCCTTAATAAACATCTTCAACTGCAAAACTCTGTGAATTCTGAGTTTCCTACTTGTAAACATGACTTTGTTTGGTTATTACAGAATGTTGTTGTCCTCATAAGGATGTCATCCAGTTATGTTTATTTGTGTGTTTACATGCAAACATGTATATCATGTACGAATGTGTGTGTGTGTGTACACTTAACCAGATTCTGGGCACAAAAGTGAGCAAAATCTGACAAAATCTTTCTTTGAGGATGTCCTTGTTTGTACAACTGGCATAAAAATAAAGTAATAAAGTTTTTTTTAGTGTAAAAAATGCAGAAAGTTTTATGTTAAGGTTAGGTTATAAAATAATCTATGTAAATGGCTAACTTGGGCAAACGTGTTTTTGTGTCATCACTTCGTCCTTCTTTTCCCTGAATGGTGCACATCTTCCAGGAAGAGGCAGTGGAGGAACATCTTTTGCTAAAATTGGGAGAAAGACAGAGAAAATGAGTAATGGGCAGAACCAAATCAACAGACAATTACATTTTTCAAACATTTCTATCTATCTCTATGGGGGGGAAACATAGGTCAAAGCCTGTTAGTTTTACCAGGACAGATTTTTTTTATAACGTTTATATTCATCAGGAGGGAAGGTCCTCTGTACCTACCTATATTTCATAATTTCATGTAGCCTATTTATAGATGTTTCATAAAAAAAACATGTAAAATCCAAAACAAAGTTATTTTAGTTATATTTATTTATTTACCGATGCTAAACTAAGTTTCAGAAAACATACATGGTAACATGAACATATTTATTATAATTCAGGATGATAGTTACAATTCAACAAGAATAGAACAATATATTAAAATTTGACTGCTGCAAGCGAATATATTTGATACAAGATTTAAATTAATATTCTCTTGACCAGAGACGGCACTAAATGACACATTTTAAAATGGTTATTCTCTTATTAATCTTAACATTTCATGATGTGACCTTTTTTTTTTTTTTTTTTAAATAAACCAATTATGTAGCCTAACTTTTGACATTGAATAGTGGTACGTTAATTTATTTTGTTGTATTTTGCAAAAAAAAAAAAAATGTTAATGGACAAGAGGATTCATTTAGATTTGTAGGGTAATGTGTTTTTATTTCGAAGTAGGTGATTAAAGTGAGACCCTTGGTGTAATATGTGAGCAATGACAGATTTCAGTGTTAGGCACATTCTTGTGGCCTATTTGTTTATTTTTAATTTGGTGATACGCGCATTCCAAAGCATAGCTAGAGCATTGGATTAGATGACATCATAAAGAAATGGAACGTTCGTAGGCCCTACTTGTTTTAGAATACATAGAAGTGCGAGATTTCGCCGTTTTCTCATTCTGCAGTTCCCTATACAGAGTTACTTTCCCAGGTGAAAAACTGTTATCATGGCACTGAAGAGAAAACACAGTTCTAGCGCTTGGTTGTACGACTTCCATCAGAGTACAACGTCACCAATATCCAGCACTAATGCGGCTGAGAACTATCTGCCCGTTAGTGCTGGTGAGGAAAATGAGAGGATGAGGAAGAGGAGGAGGACGGAGAGTTTTGAGAAGCTGCTCTCTTCACTTCGGTGACTGCCTAGAGCGGCAGCTCAGACCAGGCTACTGCACCCATAAATGAGAGACGAGCTGAGGGTAAATCCAGTGACCATTTAAGAATCTACAATTTTTTTTTTAGCTATATATGAGTATCCATTCATAGAATAAATTGATTAAAGGAATTTTCTGCTCTCTAGGATAAAGTCATTAATTACCATATGCTAATATCTACACCATCACACCATATGAAATTACAAAGGTCACGATCAGATTTTTATTTCAGGTCATGTCATAAACAGATGAAACATGGTTTCTTGTGGTAACTGAAGAATCACCATATGAGAATGCAGTGTTACATTTTTTTTTTTGAGTGAAATATTATTTTGTTTGTTATTCCCCTCTTTTAGATCATATTTCTCTGCAGTCCATTGCCTGGTCCATAGAGGATCCTCTAGAGCAGGGATGGGCAACTTTGATAGTGACGAGGGCCAGCATTTTTTCTCCTTTATACGAAGGGGCCAGATTACTAATCCACGTCCACACACCTTTTACCCCGTCTTACTCAATTTCCTTTTTATTGAGGGAAATTAAAGTATAACTAATGTCATTTGTTTTTAAAGATTTTATTAAGTATAAAACTTGTGCAGTTATGCTAATTCAGAAGGAAAACTTTGTTGTGAGTGGACAGAAATATTACCCTGACAAGCCAGTGTAAACATTTCAATTGCATTGTCTGTACATTTGCAACAAACAAATATACAGAGGTCCTTTTTTTTAATCAGTAGCCTACAGAACATTCTCAAGACAACCTAAAAGGACAGTTAAAAAGGGCTTAATGAAAAAAATAGTTATTCCAAATGGTACCATAAAATAACCTGGTATCTGCAGGATTTTTAAAATCAAATTTAAGACCTTTAAAGACCTTTTTAAGATCTGCATTTCACATTTCAGCCTTTAAAAAAATTTAAGAAAAGGGATGAGTCAAAAGTATCAATTATTATATTAATTCTAATGTTAGTGGATGTTTACATTAGAGTGCATGTCCTACTACGCTGAAATTAATACGGGAGCGGCTGGAAGCTAGCGACCTCTCCTGGTTGGAGATAGTATTAACATCATAAACTGAAAGCAATCTTAAGTGACTTGCTCTTCAAATGTTTTAAAATTGATCATCCGAGTCTAATATGATATGGCCGTATACGGGCCGCCAGTTGCCCATCCCTGCTCTAGAGGAACCTCTTTCCAGTGATCTTGAAGACCTTCCTTCTGTAGATCAGCAGGTTCAAAGTCCTCCAGCTCCAGTCAGGGCCGGCCTGTGGCATAGGCGGAATAGGCCAATGCTAGGGGTGCCGCTGATCCCTAGGGGACCCTAGGGTGAGCTTTCTGCCCAACACAACACTGTCGACTACTGTTTGACATTTCATGTCATCTACAATTATTCATCTTTTAACAGGTGGCATTCTGAGCCGGTATAATATCGGCAAAATGCTTGGTGAGGGAGGATTCGGCTGCATCTATGAAGGGAATCATGCTTGGAGGATGGCCTTGAGGTATTGTCATATGCTTACAATATATAACAACATTGTGTTCTCTCACTATGTCCATCGTAAGTCATCTCAGTGTATATTGTGTCCCTTATTTAGTGCACTTGCCATGTTGTAAATGTAATAAATGTTTTGTTTTGTTATCCAGGTGGCAGAGAAAATTGCCAGCAAGCCAAGGAACATGAAATACATCTATGTTGTAAGTAAGTTACGCTCACTATGCAAACATACTGACAACAATTGGTCCAAGACTCCAGCTCCATCTAACAATGATCTTTCTAATAGCCTATAGTCATCCTGCACCCCTTCCGTTAGAGGTCGTCCTTTTTTTTACTCCTTGTTAGCAAAGAGAGTTAATAAAAAAATACTAAAAATGAAAAGAAAATAAATGGCTAAAACAGCAAAATTACTAAAACCTAAACTAAAATTTAAATGAAAACGGAAAATATTAAAAAGATAAAAATCGATTAAAAATATTTTCTCCGTAATAAAATGACACTGGTATAGTGAACAAATATTTCCTTCAGGTTTCTAGATATATTTATTCATAACCACGATTTATGTTCGCCTACAAAATATTTTTTTTTTGGACAGGTAGTGTTTTTCACCCCTGAACAGCAGGGGGCAGAATAGACCTCTTCACTGAATAGTTAACATTAAAACCAGAGAAGAAAAGTACCGATCCAAAACACACCACCGTTTTATTTCGCTATGTTAGGGACCTTCATATATGTAAATATTATACATATAGCCTAATTTGATCCGGTGCGTTGTTTCTGGTAGTTTAGGCTCTTCAGAGTGGTGAGTGTCTGAAACACTAAACACATCTCTTATTATTGTGCTAGATAAAATTATTTTGAGTACATTGCAGCTACTGAAAAGCACATTTGCAGCAGCAGTAATAAACCATGTTTATACAGAATGTACTAAAGACTATCTAACGTTACTGTAATTGTCTCGACATTTTGTTTACATCTGATTCTAGATATCGCCGCAGGTTCACAGCATGTGTCTCTGCCTTGACTTCACATCCCGTAGTCTCAAGTGTCACTGTTTTCATGAAATCCTGACAACACTCGTTTTTAAAATTTTTATTTATTTTTTTTTACAAATGATACAAGCTAAAGGAATCATGAATAATCATACACGAGCACCACCAGCCTGAGGTGACTGTAGAAACTGTAAAACAGTTTGCAAATCTGAAGGACCAAAAGCTTTCTCGAGATTAGGAAGTAAAACTTCATGTCTGATTTATAGTATTTTGTGATCATTTTAAAGGTATCATCTGAGTCCCTATAAATCCTATGAAAGCATATAAAACCTACTGTATCATATTCGATATATTAATTTCTAAAAACCTGCTGAAACCCGGTTATGCACAATCTTCTACATGCCTTCTGTCGTCTGATTGATAGTTAAAGGGGTCATATGATGCTGCTAAAAAGAACATTATTTTGTGTATTTGGTGTAATGAAATACTTTAGTAAGTAAAAGGCCTTTTAGTACCATTCTGTCCACCTTTAGGTTGCTCTTTTTGCTGTGAAATCTTTAGCGATTGTATAAAATAAACATAAGAATAACTTGTGTATTGTTACGAATATTTCAAGATGGATATTTGGAATTTCCCATGCATTCATTTTTTTATTATCCATGCATCCATTTTTTTAGACAAAACATGTTAAAACGCAAGTATATGATACATTCGGCTTTTGAGGAAAGTTGTAGGAAGTTTATTTGTCCATCTCTCAGTCATCATTGCTTTGCTTTGCTTTGCATTACATGTTTTTCTCCCCCCACAATTAAAACTACAGAGTTTTCATAATAAAACTAAGCATTTAAATACCAAGATGTATTTTTAGGATATATAGATTGACAACTCGTAATTATATGCATTTTATGTAAGTAGTCTGCTTGGTTATATAAGTAACAACATGTGCACCGAATTGCTTATTTTTATTTAGTTTGGGCCTATATAATTGTTGCATGCTCCATAATCTACACATGCATAATACAAACATAATACAAAACATTAAAACATACTGGCAAACTTTATTTTTAGTGTTTCCTTTATATTTTGCCTAAACATTCAATAAGCTTTTCAATTTTAAAGAAATTATAATTTTTTTTATTTCTGCTAGTTTTTCATATATCAGGCTTAACATGGTTAATACGATATATAACATCCATATAAGCACTTCATCTACATGTTAAAAAAATGAAAACTAGAAATATCATGAAGGACCAAATAGGAAAAAGCATTGAGTTTTATTCCCATGTTGACCTGTTGTGTAGCTATATGTTTAAAGTGAAAAGAGCTGTATGGGGCAAAAGGGTCTTTAATATATTTAAAGTATATTTTTTGTATTATCATTTGTAAATATTTTACATTTATCTTGTAAATCCCTATACGATTCTATCAGATAAAGTTTGCTTTGTCTTCTGAAGCTAAATTAATACAATTTTAATAATAGGTTTCCATCTAGACATTACAACTGAGGCCAATGAAAAGAGAGACACAAATGGCACTGTTTTGCATTTCAGTGCGTTCAGTGCAATCAACTTTCTCATTTGTAAATATTTTACATTTATCTTGTAAATCCCTATACGATTCTATCAGATAGATAAAGTTTGCTTTGTCTTCTGAAGCTAAATTAATACAATTTTAATAATAGGTTTCCATCTAGACATTACAACTGAGGCCAATGAAAAGAGAGACACAAATGGCACTGTTTTGCATTTCAGTGCGTTCAGTGCAATCAACTTTCTGAACCCCTAAGGAAAGTGTACCACTATACTAATTTTTTGGACATGTATCATGGCAATACCATGTTTTTGTTGACATATTTGATGGAATACAGGAATCTATAATAACCATATGCAACCAACGATATATACAATCTGAGACCGCGGTACCATAACTCTTATTAAATGTGATCATAGAGTTATAGTGTTTGATTTATAACATTTGATTTCTCCTAGGTTATAATGCTGCTGGCTCAGATAAATCAGTCAGCAGATTTCCAGCATGAGGGAGATGCTCAGGAGGTTACTCTCTGCTTAACTGAGACTGTGGGGATTGCAGGTCAGAGCTGCATACTTTATAAACTTTTTTTTTTTCCCTCAAAAATTGGCATTTTATTAAAAGGGAAGGTGTGCATACGCTACCATTCCAAAGTTTTGGGTCAGTAAGATTTTTTTTTTTTAAAGAAATGAATACTTTTATTCAGAAAGGATGCATTAAATTGATCAGAAGTGAATAACTTTTACATTGTTACAAAAATGTCACATTTTAAACAAACATATTAAGCAGTACAACTGTTTTCATCATTGATATTAATAATTTCTTGAGCACCAAGTATAGTATAAGAATCCTTGGTGAACATAAGTGACATTTGATTTGCAGTGTACTCCAGTATTACAGTCTATGCCAGTCTCCAATTGTCCTGTTAATGATTCAGATGGCGATCAGAGCATGGACACAGTCAGTCTGCAGGCTGTGACTTTAGCAGATGGCTCCACTGCATATATACCTCACAACACTCAAGGTATGTTTATTACTGTGCCCCCTGAACAACATCATTCATCCCAGACACTTTTAAGATGTAATAAAACTCGGCATCATCTATAGGAAATAAATTAACATATAGAAAAGTAGTGGTCGACCGATATTGGTTTTTTGACAGCCGATGCCGATATCTTGGAAAGCAGGGTGGCCGATATAAAGCCGATATAATTGTATGTATTATAATTAATATTTAAGAAATTTAAATTATCATTTGAAAATTGATTAAAAAATAAATGTGTTAAATAAACATATTTATACTTTAGATTACAAAGTATTTTCACATATAAATAAATATTTAATAAAAATATGATTAAAAAGGAAGTAAACATTGTAACCAACAGGGCACTCAGGGTTCTGGGAAGTTTGTGTGCATTAATCATATTTTTTCAAATAAAGCCAAGGTAATACTCATTTTACATACAGCACACAGTGAAAATGACATGAATATGACAGTGGGCAAATGCATAAAGCACAGCATAATTTAAAATCACGAGTTTAAAGTTTGTCGATCGCGCGTCTCCAGTCAAGCAGAACTCTCCTCCTGTCAGCATTCATTTCACACGGACCGACCGTCACGCAGAGAACACGAGATCATGCAGGTCACATACAAACTTCACAAGATCTCACAACTGGATCCGACTAAAGTTTGCAAGGTTTTTGAAATTTAATGTTTATTAGACATTCAACAGTTTTGTTTAAATTATGTAAATGCGTATTTGCTGAATGCTGACGGCAAACAAGAAAGTATTATAATGTTTGCCTTTCTATTACTAATAATATAAAAGCAGTCGTTATAAGACTTTTTGTATACATTTTAATTCCTTTGTTTAACCGTTCTATCTGATTATTAGACAGACTTCTATCCATATTAGACAGAACTGTTAACGACGACAGCGAACAAGAGGGAGAATTTGAGCACTGTGTGCCCAGGCGCTGCCGTTCTCAGCACCGTCAAAATAAAAGTCCCACCTCGAACGCATCGGCCAAACAGGAAAACTAATCGGCCGATGCCGATATTTAAAAAATGCCAAATATCGGCCGATATATCGGCCTTGGCGATATATCGGTCGACCACTATAGAAAAGCAAATTTGTTGGTTACCTTTCCACACTTTCCATCAAACATTTGCATTTACTTGAATGGTAATGCGTTCTCATGTCACTCAAATCCATGACATTGTCAACTAGTTTAGCTGCAGGATCTCAAAATTACTTGTTTATTAGTTTCATTTTTGTATTTATTATTTTAAATATAGTTAAGGAAGACTCGTTCTGTCATGGAAAAAAAAAGGTAATTGTGACTTTTTATCTCACAATTCAGATTTTTTGCATGATAAAGTGAGTTTATTCTCAGAATTGTGAGATATAATCTCAGAGTTGCGAGTTCATATAGTTTACATCTGGCAATTCAGAGTTTATATCTTGCAAATCATAGAAACAAAGTCTGAATTGTGAGATATAAACTTGAAATTGCAAGAAAAACATCAGAATTGTTGAGAAAAAGTCACAATTAGAATTGTGAGATGTAAACTCAGAATTCTGAGAAAAAATATCAGAATTGTGATATGTAAACTTGAATTGAGAGAAAACATCAGAATTCTGAGCTTATATCTTGCCGTTATTTTTATTTTTTTATCAGAATTGTGTGAAACAAAGTGAGATATAAACCCAGAACTGTGAGATAAAAAGTTGCAATTACCTTTTTATTTTTTATATATGGCAGAAACAAACTTTCATATCTATTATTAGCCAAACATAACAAGACAGCTAAGATAATTAAAACATTAAATTAAAATTACCATGAAGCATCTATAATCTTTAACTCCTGTATTTCCTGTTTTTAAAATAGTCAGATCAAAGTTGCATGAATTTTTGCTTTTCCATAAAATAATGCAATGGAAGATTTTTTTTTTTTAAACACAGTTGGCAGGATATTCTGAGTGAGGCATTAACTGAGTGCTGGTTGTTTTTCCCCAGACAGCAATATAGTAGAAGGACAGGTGATCCAGTTAGAAGATGGGTCTTCTGCTTATGTGCAACACATTGCTGTTCCAAAAGCAGGTATTTTACTCTTTGTTATGCAGCAAATCTTTATATTAGATTCACCAGACGTGAAATTTAGGAACAGGTTTAGGATGTTATTTATTTATATTTTATTCACACTAGATGAGCCAATTAACTGGACGGGCTCATCTGTATGTGATGTTGTTGGTAATGAGAGCTTAAGACTGGAGGATGCTCAGACTGTGCAGTTGGAAGATGGAACTACTGCTTACATCCACCACACTGCAAAAGGTTTTTCCTTTCTTCTGTTTTTACTATGCAGCAAGATGTTAAATGGGATTCGGATGAGCATGCTTTTTAATATATCTATATCAATATTGCATTGGCAGATACATATGAACCCAGTACCCTGCAGGCGGTGCAGTTAGAGGACGGGTCTACCGCTTACATTCATCATGCTCTTCAGGTGTCACAACCAAACACCATTCTGGCCATCCAGACGAATGGCACAGTAGCAGATTTGCACACAGATGTGGCTATTGACCAAGAAACAATCGATGCTTTGGAGCAGTACACAACCAAGGTACAACCAATATGATTAGGGCTAATGCAAAGATATTCACAATATATTTGCTATGATTTTGCTGGCAATATTAAATTAGGGAGCATATGTTATAAATTATTTTTAGCACAATCGGTCTCACTTGCTCACTTGTCAAAGTTGGTAAAATAAATATGTAAAGTGTAATTATAAACCTTGATTTCTTTCCTGCAGATCGAAGAAATTGATTCTTACTCAAACTCTGAGCTGATCACCAGTGATCCTCACAGTGTTGTGGAGATGCAGGTGAGAATGTAATTGTCCATGCAACATAAAAATGTCATTAGCCAAGCTCGGAGTTGCTCTAAAATGTTTATCCTTTCTCTCTCTAGATCGTTCTTCAGGGTCAAGGAATTCGCCGTAATACGCAGCAGCCGGGAGAGAAATGTTTTCGGTGTAATTATGACGGATGTGGAAAGCTTTACACCACTGCAAATCATCTTAAGGTTATTATGGCTTTTATATTTGAGCTTGTAAATAAAAGCAGTTAGATGACATTACAAATAGATAGATGACATTACAGCATAGATGACATTACAAATGCAATGCATTATGATTGCATTTTGTTTTTCAGGTACATGAAAGAGCACATACAGGTGACAAGCCGTACTGTTGTGACTTACCTGGCTGTGGAAAAAAGTTTGCAACAGGTAATAAAAAATACGTTGTAAAACACAGCAAGCGTGCATTACATTGATTAAGAGTGACAGTAAAGATATTGTTACAAAAGATTTCTATTTCAAGTAAATGTTGTTCTTTTGAATTTTCTATTCATCAAAGAGTCCTGACAAAAGTGACAAAAATATAAAGCAGCACAACTGTTTTCAACATTAATAATAATAATAAATGTTTCTTGAGTACCAAATCAGCATATTAGAGTGATTTCTGAAGGATCATGTGACACTGAAGACTGGAGTAATGATGCTGAAATCTCAGCTTTGTCATCACAGGAATAAATTACTTTTTATAATATATTACAATAGAAACCAGTTGTTCACAGTATTTCTGTTTACTGTATTTTTGATCAAATAAATGCATTAAAACATTTTCAAGAAATCTTACCAACCCTGAACAATGCATTTCTAACATATTTAAACTGTGTCGTATATTAATCACTTATAATTAATTTACTTTTAGGTTACGGTTTGAAAAGTCACATCAGGACGCACACTGGAGAAAAACCTTACCGCTGTCAGGAGATGGACTGTAAGAAATCTTTCAAGACTTCAGGGGACCTTCAAAAGCACACCAGAATTCACACAGGTACATGTCTTCAAATCTTCCATCTATTTATTAGAATATTATGGAAATATGAATACAGTGTTAAACTATCATGGTATTGAAAAGTAAACAAAAGGCTGCATGCATTAGAATTTCATATTTCAATAGTTTCATATGAAGATTTGTCCTATTATCTGCCATATTATACTGACATACCACCACAGTAATTGGGCTCCTACCACTGATCTATTTGTTCTTTGTTCTTTTAAGGAGAGAAACCATTTCTATGTCCATTCCCGGGCTGTGGACGATCCTTCACTACCTCAAACATCTGTAAGGTGCATGTTCGCACGCACACTGGAGAGAAACCGTATCACTGTACAGAGCCAGGCTGCAATCGGGCGTTTGCCAGCGCGACCAATTACAAGAACCACATACGGATCCATACAGGTGTGCTGCTCTTTAGCCTTAAAGGGATAGTTCACCCAGAAATTGAATTTTTTTTTTTTATTATTGCTCCAAACCTTCCTTTTTTAAGTGCAACTCAAAAGGAGAAATTTTGAATAATGTGCTGATCTGGTGAGATGTTGAGATTTTAAGTAAATAACAAATTCAGTTTCGTATGGCTTCAGAAGAAATTGCATATACATCATTGCCATTTTTATACTTTTTTGGTGCTTACCTCTAACCTTATTGTAAAGTGTCTCAGTGACTTTCGTTCATACTATGCAAGTCAAAAGTCACTACACAATTATTTGGTTACCAAGTTTCTTCACAATATCTCCTTTTATATTCCACAAAAAAAAAAGAAAATCATACAGGTTTGCATCAACATGAGTGGGCAAATAGTGACAGAACTGTAATTTTTAGGTGAACTGTCCCTTTAAGTATCCAGGTTATTCAAAAACTGACCTTGTGTTTTCATGAAAGAAAAGAAAGTCATGTGAATTTGAAAAGACATGTAACAGAATTTCCATTTTGGACGAACTATTTATTTGAATTCTTTCATCATAATTTTTAATCTAACCTAAATGTAACTATGAATTTAAAGGGGTCATATGATGCTGCTAAAAAGAACATTATTTTGTGTATTTGGTGTAATGAAATGTGTTTATGCGGTTTAAAGTAAAAAAAAAACATTATTTTCCACATACTGTACATTATTGTTTCTCCTCTATGCCCCGCCTTTTTGAAACGCGTCGATTTTTACAAAACTAATCGGTCTGAAAAGCGAGGTGTGCTCTGATTAGCCAGCTATCCAGTGCGTTGTGATTGACCGAATACCTCAAGCGTGAGACGGAAATGTTACGCCCCTCACCATACTGTGATGCCCTGTCCAGCCGGAGAAGAATATCTCTTTGGATTTGAGACTTTAGTCTTTGCAACTTTACAGATCTTCTTTATGCACCAAGAGCTTGTAACACTCTAAAGAGAAAGGAAAAAATGAAATCGCATCATATGACCCCTTTAACTCTGTGAGATGTCTAAAGCAGTGTCTTTATTGCATGCAGGAGAGAGGCCGTATGTTTGCACAGTTCCTGGTTGTGACAAGCGATTTACTGAGTACTCTAGTCTCTACAAACATAATGTAGTGCACACTCCCTGCAAACCCTACAAGTGCAACCACTGTGGAAAGGCATACAAGCAGATTTCCACACTGGTCATGCACAAACGTTCAGCGCACAATGACTCTGAGCCTATAGAAGAGGAGTCGGAGGGCTATTTTGAACCCCCTTCAGGTTGGTTTTGAAAACTATCTTGATTATAGACACAAGATGATATTTTCTGAGTGAAACTGGGCTGTTGTTTTGTATTCAGAGGCTATAGATGACCCCTCCCTGACTGTTAGCCTTGTGAAGTGTGAAGACTCTTGTCCAGAGATGGATTCTGAGATCTGTGATGTCACAGAACAACATGTAACGTTTATCACACAAGATGGAGCATCGCAGGTTTGCATCGGGGTTATTATGCACAGAAGAAAATGGGAGTTTAAACAGTTTTCTCTCAGAAATTAAGAGAATTTCTTTAAATTGAATTAAACATGAAAGTTTAAAAGTAGAAAAACTGAAATACACTGAAAAATTGGTGTAGAAACAGTTTGCACAAAAAACAACAACAAATTGCTAGTAAATTTCACAAGGAAATGGCAAGTAACACATTGAATTAAACAAAATTTTGCAGTAGAAAAACTAAAGTGCCCCTATTATGGGTAATGAAAGGTTCAGATTTTGGTTTTGGGAGTCCCCAACAACAGGTTGACAGGCATGCAAGGTCAAAAAACACTTTTATTGTCTTATAATATGCATTTATTTTTACCTTACTTAATCGACGACTCTCAAACGATTCGCTCAATGATTCATTTTTCCAAACCCCTCCTTTGCCTGACGCTAATCTGTGGTAATTGGTCCTGATAAAGCAGCGTTTGTGAGCACAGTGCTGCTTTGTGTACAGCGTTACCGGGGAAACTGCTATTTTTACCGCTCCAAAAGCACACCTAGTGGCAAAGAATGAATTAGAATTTTCATTCAGTCTAACACGAAAAGACCAACAAGTAGGCGGGCAATATGCTAATGTTTCATGTTGATGTCAACATGAAACGGCTTGGGATTCGTTTTAAAAAGAACTGGTTTCAATGATTCAGAGTCGACTCTTTCTTTTGAGAGACAATAACTTTATACACGGTGCGCTTTCAGATTTAAAACTTTGCAAGATGTTTTCATTCACTTAGAGCTGTGTTACACACTGCATGAAAGGTAATTTTCAAAAATCCATAATAGGGGCACTTTAAAAATCTTCATTTTATTTACAAATTCGTTGAAAATCTTTTTTTTTTCGGTATAGTATTTTCATGTAAAATATGTTCCAATTATCTGTTTCATTTACAATTTAGAAAAAAATTACAGTGTTGTTAACTAAAACTATAACCATAAAAACATTCTCGTTACAGAAAATAAAAAGCTTAAGCACATTTTATTTCAGCTCTTTTTCAAGGCAACATTTCTAATAATAAAAAAACAAAAACGATATGTTAAAAAAACTAATAAAAGGGACAAAATGACTAAAAATGTAACTAAAATTAAAGTTAGAGGAAAATATACAAAAATAAAATATAATTAAAAATTTTAACAAACACATTATATCAGTTATACTAAAAAATTACCACTGATTTGCATCTACACAGTTTGTGAGAAGACTGCATGTTCGTTTATTAAAATTTTTTTTGAAAAACCTACCCTATAACAAAAATGTCATGACATTGCCATTAGTTTATATGTGCTGCAGCCATAGACATCTACAGAAAATCCAGAAGCTAATCATAATACATGTGCTGAATGGGAAATTCTGTGATTTCTGACAGGCTGTTGGGAATGTAATCACAATGGTAACACAAGATGGCAGTGTGATCACCATCCCACCCACTGAGTCTTTGCTATCATCAGCGGAGGCTCATTCAGTGACTGTGTTCTCAGAGGACGGGACTGAAGGACAGGTGTGTAGGCTTTGGCTATTGTAAATTTGGGAACCAAACAAGTATATTTATGTGTGTGGTTTTTATTGCCAGCAAATAGATCAAACTTTCTCTTCTTAATTATCACATAACTATATTCTGCCCACTGCTGATTTGTGTGGATATAGAGCGCTGTAGTGAAGATGACGTATGTTTGTAGTTTGGTTCCCTCGACAAAAACCCAATAGGATTTTGCCACTGGCTTTTGGATTATTGCAGAAAATAAGCTCTGTGACCAACATAAGTTTATGATTCTTACACATTTTGTTCATCATGATAATCTTCACTAATGAACACAACAGAAGTCTAATACAATCGCAAAAAGTAAAAAGCTAAACGTAGGCTATGAATAAACTGCACGACTTCAACGTCACCATCTGACAGTTCTTTCTGCCATTATTTAAAAAAAACTTTTCTTTCAACCTCTGCAGTCCTATAAGCCATTTGATAGCAACTGCCTTTTTCAAGTCAGGTAAAAGCTTTAAAAAAGGGGGTGTTACTGATGTATTTTTATGTCGTAGAATAAAACATGAACATATCTTGAGACTTTATTAACCACAGATTAACTTTATTTCAGGCATTTAACCAAAAACCTGTTTAAAAAAATCCACTGACTTCAGGACGATGGAACTGGAAGTTTTAAAATGCTAACACATCTCTGGGTTTTGGCCTACAAAAAAAAAAGCATCATGTCGACAGCAGTCTATAATCTGGTCACATGAACTGTGTTTGTTTGTTTGTTTCTGTTTTCTCCAGATGACTGCTATGATTCCAGAATTATCATCTTCCAGGAGCATACAGGATGAGTTATCAGCACATCCAATTACACTTCTGGCTACTTCTAATGGCACACAGATTGCTGTTCAGGTATAGTTCACTTAGGCTGGAATGCATCACAATTTTGACTTGATTTTTCTTTGATTTGCCATCTATAGGAATTCAGCGCTCGTTGCTTAAAGGGATAGTTCACCCAAAAATGAAAATTTGATGTTTATCTGCTTACCCCCAGGGCATCCAAGATGTAGGTGACTTTGTTTCTTCAGTCGAACACAAATGATGATTTTTAACTCCAGCCGTTGCAGTCTATCAGTCGTATAATGCATGGCAATGGTAACAAAATCTATGAGAGTAAAAAAAAACATGCACAGACAAATCCAAATTAAACACTGCGGCTCGTGACGACACATTGATGCCCTAAGACACAAAACGATCGGTTTGTGCCAGAAACCGAACAGTATTTATATCATTTTTTACCTCTAATACACCACTATGTCCAACTATCTTTGGGCGCGCGCACGGCATCCGGTGCGTGAGGTGTGTACGCACTCTGGCGTAGTTTACGTTAATGGGTGTGTTGATATCCAGCCGAAGAGCAATCAACCATAACCAGTTTGATTAGCCGTCGTACCTACAATGTTTGTGCACTGTGTAAACAATGAGTGACGTATACGCGCGAGAGATCACTTCCGGCGCTTGCGTAAACTACGCCAGAGCGCGTACACACCTCACGCACCGGACGCCTGCGCGCGCTCAAAGACAGTTGGACATAGTGGTGTATTAGAGGTAAAAAAATTATATAAATACTGTTCAGTTTCTCACACAAACCGATCGTTTCGTGTCTTAGGACATCAATGTGTCGTCACGAGCCGCAGGGTTTAATTTGGATTTGTCTGTGCATGTTTTTTT